ACCTACATAATATATTTTATACTCTCATTTGTGCCAACAAAAGCTCTAACAAAACAAGCTCAAAAAGCTGATTTATAGCTTAMAGATATATAAATGTCTGAGTATAAAGTATAAACTGCTACATTTGAGCCAAATAAATTRTTTTGTTGACTGATCTGTTATGAGTAAAACTCACCACCCCAAAATGTTTCTTCCCTGAATCCAAGGAAACAGATATATCTCCATTTCTCCAGCTGTCTTCTCCGATTTCATCACTCTGGAGAAACTCGCCAAGCTTCTGGACGCTGCAGCAACAAACAAACACGACCCCGTGAGATGTGTGGCCRTTACAGTTTTACCATTCCGATTCCAGCAGTCTCTCAGGAGTGTAAAGTTTCTCTTCTCTGCTGTCAGCTTTCCTCGAATTAGATTCTCCAGCTCGTTTCCCTTGTTTAGTCATCTCTACATCCTGCTCTCTAAGTTAMAGCAAAGCCATCAACTGTCCATGAAAGCAGTAACTTTCATGAAATAGCTCCAAAGTAACTACTCACCTGACGAGGGCCTTCACGGCAAATCTGACGACGGTGGAAAGCAGAAAGAGGGGCGTAACCAGGATGTGGAACAAMGCCAACGCTGCAAAGGCTTCAGAGGGTTTGGGACTGGTTTCATAAATGATGTGGTACGTCACGAATGTCTACAAGAAAAGGACTTGACAGGTTATCTCTGCTTCGAGCAGTTCAGAAGGTATACCCTCATCTCATCTTTTTCTTAGTTGGGATGCTGTGTAAACATGTGTTAAACTAATGTTACAAACATACAGGGTAGAAGTTTTAGAGCATTATGTGCTTCCATTCAGCAAAAAAAAAGGAACCTTCTCTAAAACCTTCAGCAGCTGGTCCCCTCAGCTTCTGGACATTTACAGACTGTTTCATGATGGACATGTCCAGTGTCACCACGTTTGGACAGATGTTTTGCTGCCATAAAGTTCAAAGTTACCTTATTTTTTCCTCCGAAAACTTTAATTCTCTAACATTTGGTATGTTTACTACAATTTATTGTGAAAAAAGTGAAGGTTCATAAAATGTGCAAATTATTGTATTTTTACTTTGTTTTACACTACACCTCAACTGGTTTTTGGAATTTGAATTACATTTTATGTAACATACAACCTAAAAGTGAAAAAAAAAATCAAAAGTAGGGCTGCCACGATTAGTTGACTAGTCACGATTATGTCAACTATTAAAATCTTCAACGACTAATTTAATAGTCGATGCGTCGTTTTTTTTCTAACTTAGTTTTTTTTATAGTCGACTAATCACGATTAGTCGACTATGAAAATAATCGTTTGTGGCAACTGTAATTACCACTACTGCACAAGTGTGTTAAGGACAGAAAGGCAGACATGGCGGTGGAAGGTGCCGCAGCAGTTTGGAGAGAAAAACAAAGTTAGACAAAAAAACAACGCACCAACTATTAAATTAGTTGACATTTTTAATAGTCGACAATAATCGTGACTAGTTGACTAATCGTGGCAGCCCTACTCAAAAGTGACATTTTAGTGTAAATGGGGAGAAAAGAAGCTCTTACCACAAGAACAGCAGCGATGGGAATAGCAGCRTTCATGAAAACTGCACAGAGAATAAAAGATTTTAGGTCAAGTTTTTCAAATAACTATTTACAAACATTAAGATTTTTTATTTCTCCAGATTTAAAAAACTGTATCAAACAAATTTGTGTTACTAATTCACTGGTTTGGTCTCTAAATTGACAACCGGTAGATTAATTTGAACAGTAAAGAGTGGATCTTTCCTAAAGAACAACAACATTTCTATTTCTCTAAAACAGTTTTAGACAAAAATCACATCCAGGACAGTCATTGTCTTCATGAGTAAACATTTTCTTTTAAACAGTGCAAGACATTTTTACACTATACAAAGTTTTCTTTAGGACAGTGGGACATGTAAATATACATCAACTTCACTAATATTTGATAAGTTGTAACAGTTTTAATCATGTTTTAACCTTTGTATGACCATKTTTTTCTGCATTACAGTTATTTCAGCAGAAATGTTACAATATTCCTGCAGGAAGTGCACCAGATTGAACCAGAAGTGCCACAGCTGGCTGCTGTCGATAATTGTGCATGTAAATAACCACAGTATTTACAGTAAATAATTGTTTATTCAGAAATTGAGTGTTTTAAAGGCTTATAAAATAGCATTGGCATGAATCACTTTAAATTTTTGTTTGCGTTATTTGAAGATGGAAGCAATACATTTTTGACTTGGTCATGTTCGGATTATCAAAAACACAAAAAAAAATCTATCCATAACAGGTAAGATATTGATTTTTCATACCGTCTCCTCAGAAACTCACTTMAATCTATTCATTTCACTTTCAAACAGAAAAGCCTGTGGTTTAGGCACATCAGGGACTGAGTTTGTGTCTCGTTTGTGTCGACTAACAGAATTCCCGCGTGCAGTAAAAACTACTAAACGTATTGAAATAAACACGTTTTGATTATTTCACTTACTGGACATGGAAGTGTAAAAGGCGAATGTCTTCAGGCTGGTGAGYTCTTTGCCTCGTGTTTGCTCCACGTTGTCACAGAAAATATCCTCCCAGGCGTAGAGCTTCAGCAGCTTTATACCCTTTAGGATTTCTGTGGTCTTTTTCAGCCGATCCGTGGAGTGCTCCTAAAAAATAAAAGTACTTAAATATAGACTGCAGTAAAACGCTTTAGGTGGCATGTTGTATATTTAATGAAGAGATTTAATAAATGACATCAGTTACRCAAATGAAGTGCTTACTAGTGAGCTTTTCTGTGTGTCTGCCAGCTTTGTAGCTATGTGGTACTGAACCGGAGCCAACAGAACAATAACCGAGGCGCCGACCAAGGCGCTCCAACCCAATAAGTAGTAGAGCAGAATCACTCCCATCACAATCTGGAAAATAAAACACAACTTAAAAGACTGTCAACTCTAAAGTGGATTCGTGGCATTCAGAGTCTATCTGATGTGAGGTGTTTAAAGCTATCGTTTAATCTACCTGGACGGGCATAGCCCAGAGGTTGGGACAGAGGAAGAGGAACCACATCAGCTGGTTGGTTTCTATGGCAACCAGGTTGTTGATTTGGCCTAGTGTCATCTCCCCCATCGACATGTTGGAGGTGGACAGACGCAGGATTTTGTTGTAAATCATCGCCTTGTTAACGAGACAAAAGGAAGACGTTATAAGATGATGAGGAGGATGATGATGATAACAGACCTCTGGGTTATGACTTAATGTTCTAAAAAGTTTTTGGAAAAGGTTTCTTGAACAACTGAACAGATTTAAACAAAACTCACTGGATTTGCATCTGTTAGAACATTAACCGTTGAAGTCAATTAAATTCAAGATGGCGGCCACAGCTTACACAAAATACATATGACTGAGATGTTTGATAATTATAACATTAAAGTGTCTGTGATGTGCAAATTCTTTAAATATACAAAGTCAAAGAAAACCCTTTGACTTCACTTGCAGGTGTGGAAATTAAAAATTTTCCCCACCAACCACAGTGGCTGGTAGAAAACGTTTTGTACCGGCCACTCAAACTTTTTACCAGCCACTATTTTTTTTTGTTTCGTTTTGTTTCTGTAACACGGTGTCATTTAGACAATTCATGGTCCTTGGTGGCCTAATTAAATTGTTTGTGCCTACAATCAGATAATGGCACTCAAAATCTATTAGTGTCTTACAGTATTCAAGCCAGCCTGTTCACCCAAATTAAAATGATTGACTTTTTGAAGTCTCTACTTCTCTTACTAACTTGCTTTTTGCTGGTATGTGTGGAATACCAATTATTTTAGGTGGGCTACTTGGCTGGAAAGAAATTTTCAAGGTGAAAAAAAACTAAATTACCTTACAACTAAGCTACCTGTGTTAAATTTATCTCCATTTAATAAAATCAGTCTTTGCCTTTCATCACTTGTAGTTTTTGTTTTATAGGCTACTAGCATGAACATGTGTCTTCTGTTCTAAGTGAGATTTAAATAACAGATGGAAATCCCTCTGATGATCCATTAGAGTGGATCATTTCTATTTTTACTTTTGAAAAAGTTCATGTCACAAGGTTCATTTTGTTACTTAGTTTGCCTGGGTTTTTGTTTTGTTCTGCATCCAAAAATAGCCTGCAGAGAAAAGTTAAGGGAAAAAAGGAGCAGACTTTCTATCTATCTATCTATCTATCTATCTATCTATCTATCTATCTATCTATTTATTTATTTATTTATTTATTTATTGGAGTTGTCAGCTGATCTTCAGACGTTTTCTAGAGGGAAAAAACAGTTTTTCCTTAAGTTTCTATTGGTCAATCAAAGTGATCACGGTTACTGAGTTAAAATATTGAACAACTAATATGAAGTTTTTTTAAACTAACATTTATGTAATTTTCACGCATCGGCAGTTAGAAACAGTGTTTTTAATCAGCTGATTTCAGGTTTTTACTCTTGATACCAGTCTATTCAGCTTTGCTGCTTGCCGACAGATGAAACAAAATTAACTGACCTGTTAAATTCATTACTGTCCGTTTTTCCCCCTTTCCATTTATTGTCAAAAAACCTGCAACTTTCGGTTTTTTCTTTGGTTCATCTTGAGAAAGGGTTTTGTTTCAGTTACTCCAGAAATGTAACGCCACATTAAAGTTGGTGTTTTTATTTTCTCCTTCTGATAATCGGACATTTACCTGTATAATGTGCGCACGAGGGGGCAGGGGGGTTGATGTGGGYGGGCAGGCGGACCACAGTTGACAGCGCGCAGGAAAGGGGGAGGGGGGAATTTATTCCTAGCTGCAGAGCAGGTTGGAAGATGATGTTACTTAATGTTTTTTAACATCCTACAGGCTCTGAAATGCAAACTGAAAATGAAACTGAGGTTTTGACAAAGGTCAGTAGCGCGATTTGAACGTAATTTTTTTAGTTCATTACACACCCGCCACCGTGGCGGGTGTGTTGTTCAGATCTACACGCCACTTCATAATTTTCCCCGCATTTGGCCAGTGGCGGGTGCTAATTTCCACCCCTGTTCACTTGGCATAATCCACTTGGCATAATACACACAATTTCACCTATTTTGTTTGCATTACTGTCATATTTGCACTTGAACTTTGCTCAGCCAAAGTGAAACAGGAAGTGACATCAAAGCAGAATTATATAAAAAGGAAACTTCTTGGTCTTTTTTAATAGAAATATTATTTGAACTCTGACTTTTCATCTCTCTGATGGTGACTCATATTAATCTAAATAAATATCAGATTCTTCTGTATAGCCTGTTGTTAGCCATTGTAGCAATGCTCTGTTCACATGCAGACACTCCACTTTGACATCACTTCCTGTTACTGGACATGCAAATATTTCAACAACTGTTCATCTCAGTGGTGTTAATATTTTTGGGGCAATATGCGRTTAATGTTATCTTTCCAAAAATGCGTTCATATTTATTACAAAAAATTGATTTCATAGGCACTTTAAAGCAACACAATGCTGGTTGCTGTGTGTAAGTAAGCTCTATAAAAATGTCATTTTGGAAAACAACGCAATAATTTGAAAACCTCAAACAAATATTTCATTCACAGTGGACTGTAGTGAACATATCAGATGTGGAAACAAAAAAAAAGATAMGGCAGTAACAGATCTTGAAAAAACAAGACATTTGTTACTATAAACTGACATTCCTTCTTCTTTTAACAACACTCGGTAAACTTCTAGGTACTGAGGAGAGCAGCTGCCGGGGTTTTTGAAGCGCAACATCACATTCTTGTCTGATGTAAGAGTGTAGCTGTTTAACGGTCCCGAGTTGTCTCTGTTGGATGGGAGCACATGTTCTAAAACCTGTACATACTTGTCTGCAGTGGTGGTGCCTTTCAATTTGTGTAAGGTGTCCATGCAAAAAGGCATCAATGCACCCCCATACCATCAGAGAGGTGGGCATTTTAACTGTACGCTCCTAACAGGATGGACGGTTTCTCCTCTATAGTGCACAGCTGTGGATTTTAAAAATAATTCAAAATTTCAATTTGTCTGACCACAGAATAAAATAAGCTGCCKTTGTGGTGTCACATATGGCTTCTTTGCGTGATAGAGCTTTAAACAACATTTGTTCTCTTATGCTGCGTTCACACCGAACGCGATTTCAGCTTCAAAATCGCAGCCAACGCTGAAGTTGGTAGCTTGTGC